TGATACTCAGAAAAATTATACATGCCATCTTTAGGAATGCTTACAAATTTCTGTGGCAAACGTGTTCAGTGGAGCAATTTCGCAGCTTCACAGGGGTTTACAGGTCTCATCAAAAAGAGGCCTATTGTTGAGATGAACTGATAAAAGCAAAAGGAAGTGTCCCCCCCCCCTAAGCCGAATAGTGCGGTCTAGCTTTGATTTCAACTTTCACCACGAAGGACTCATTTCAGGGTATGGCCTTTTCGTTATATGAACGGCAATATCTTGGCATTCATGGGCTTCTTCCTCCTGCCTTCATGACAGCTGAACAACAAGCCTACCGCGTGATGTCAAAACTACGCGAACAGCCCAATGATCTCGCAAGGTTTGGTGTTTTCCCACTTATTCTTTTTTTTCATGGGAATTTCTCGTAAATTTTCGTTCAGGTATGTCCAACTAGACAGTCTTCACGACCGTAATGAGAAATTGTTTTATCGAGTTTTATGTGATAACATCAAGGAACTAATGCCTATAGTTTACACACCTACCGTCGGACTTGCATGTCAGAAATTCGGATTCATCTACCGTAACCCTAAGTTCGTTTTGAAAACAGCCGTTACACACTCAAAGGCACATTCCGCGGTGATTGAATGGGCGGGGACTCACAAGCATTTTGCTTTCAAGTTATCGCTCCTCTTTTCTACGATAGGATATTTTTTGCGATATCAGAAAGAGATGAGTATGAGGATGCCGCTGTGTGGGCCTCCTGAGCGGAACGTGTCTTTAGGTTCTAGTCATGTACAAAACGATTCATTTCAGAGGACTGTATATAACTATTAACGACAACTCAATTAGTAAAATTTATCAAATTCTCTCTAACTGGCCACTAACTCATGTACAGGTAAGTTGGACGAGATCGCTTAAAGGCTACTTTTGGAGGTAATTTAATTCAGGCAATTAGTGGTGACAGACGGCGAACGTATTCTGGGACTTGGAGATCTTGGAGCATACGGTATAGGTATTCCAGTCGGAAAACTTGCTCTCTATGTTGCCTTGGCTGGCCTTTATCCATGCAATGGTGTACTTCCAGTCCTACATATCGATTTGGTACGGACAATCAGGTATTAAACATGTTCAATAAAGTTCTATTCAGCAATGGGGGGTCGGAAGATCTGTTTGCGGATGTCGCGGCAAAACAGGCGAGTTAGAACTGGTATTCACAGTGAAATGTACACTCACGAGACATGATTCCGATGAGCAGCGTCAGACTGCGAAATTCTTTTGAAAGATTCTCACTTCGACCCTCCGATGAAGGCGAGGGGAAGGGAGAATCTCTTTCAAAAGGAAATATTCGATTTTGTCTTGGCGAATCCAGCGGGATAGCTGTTTTAGAGGCCGTAGAGTATGGACCCGCCCGCACTGTATTTCCACCAATGAAACTGGTATTTATTCACCTAAACTGACGCCACTATTGGTCGACAACGCAGCCATAGGAGGGCTGATCCTAAACCTCCCTATTTCACGCGTGCGTCTATTAGGTTGTCCGGAAAGTTCTTGAGAGGCGTTTTGGAGGTGATTACTTTGAACGATCATAACTTTCTTAACACTCATCGGATTTAATCCAAATAAGCACCATTCGAATCAGCACACTTTTGCCAATGTGGCAGCAGTCGAGAAATCCCATCAAAGAAAAAACTGGGTGGTCGAGAATCCACGAAATCTGCGAAGGTCTTTTTTGCCTGGTCCTGTTTGATGAAGTATTTCTCAGCAGGAAAGTTCTGAAAATGTCTGAAAAGGTGACAGTCGGTTGGTGAAAGGTCTAGAGAATATGGTGGGTGAGGTAGAACTTCAACTCCCAATTCGTTCAATTTATGGATAGTGATTTGTGAAACGTGTGGCGGGCGTTGTCATGCAAAAGAATCGGACCCTTTCTTTTGATAAGTGTTGGCTGCAGCTGACAATATTTCGGTACATTTGGTCGGTTTGTTCACAGTAGGGTTCTGCTGTGATGGTTTGGCCTGGTGATGAAAAGTTATAGTGGATTACAACAGCCGATGACCACCAAACCTGACCAGAATTTTTTTTTCGCGAGGGTTCGGCTTTGAAAATTACCTCGGTGGTTCCTCCAAATCCAACCACTGTCCGGAACGTCTCCTGTTATCATACATGATCCATTTTTCATCACAGGTGACAAATCCGTTCAAAAACGGGTCAATTCTTTTGCGCAAAAGCAGTGAAGAAGGAACCTCGAGACGTGCCGATTCCTGCCGGTCACTCCGATTGTGGGGCACCCAATTGTCGAGTTTTTTCACCTTCCCAATGCGTTCCAGACCATCTGCAACAGTGGATTTGCAAACGCCTAGCTCTTCTGCTATCTCTCGAACTGTTTGGGATAGATCAGCCTCCGAAATCCCCTCAAAATCCTCGTCAGAATTGCTTTAGGTCGATCGCTATGAGGTTCACCTTCAAGGCTGAAATTTCCAGAACGACATTTGTTGAGCCATTGCGGCACAGTGCTTTCTCTAGCACTATTGAGGCCTAACCACAAAAACCTGGTTACATTTCGATGAGCTGTTTGATTGCGAGTTGCCCCTAAATTTATAGCCGAAGAAAAAAATCGTCCGAAGTGCTCTTTTCACATGCTTGAAAAAATCTTGAAAAAAGAGGGTTTATCAAGCAATGGTGAAACGGCAATTATACCATCAGATAGCGCAAGAAATTCTCTACAGGATGTGCTACTGAGAAGCAAGGCAGAATGAGTTTTTAATCAGCAGTGAATGTACAAAGATTAGGTGCACAAAACGCTAAGAACTTTCCGGACAACCTAATACATCGTTGGAGCTGATGCAAGGGGAGGTCAAACATGCCGTCTGAGAGAGCGGGAGGGGAACGAGGTTGTGCTTTGCTTCTGAGAAAAATTTTTTGAGTGCAACAAAATTTTTTCTGTTGCTGACCTTGTCATGCGCTTATTCCTTCGCATTCCCTAAGGCTCCCTTTCGCTCCTCCTCTGACAGTTTTTCCGGGCAAGAATTTCAAAAATTCCTCCACAGAGGGAAAGGGTGGGTCCGGAAGTAGAGATGAGGTAGGGTGCGGAAAGAGCTGCACTACCGGAAAGGCGGGAATTGTGTGGCAGAAGATTTCATTATACTACGCAAAAAGCTCAAAAGTGATTGTTCAATTTCTCATGGTTTCTTTTAAGACGCTTCTAAACGATCCATTCTACACCGGATTGCGTCGAAAGCGAGTGAGAGGTCCTGAGTACGATTTACTCATCGACAACTTCATGAAAGCCGCCACGAAACGGTACAGAGGACTATTTTTCGTCTCCAGCCATTCTGAGGACCCCACGCCTTTCATGTAGCCTCTTTTCTTCCAGATTTGGCCGTGACACACTCATCCAGTTTGAAGATTTCGGAAACCAAGAACGCTTACCGTCTCCTCGATCGATACAAGAACGAGTACTGTATGTTCAACGATGACATACAAGGTACACTAATTGTTTTCCTTCTATTTTGGTAACTCATTTCTAAAAAATAATTTTAGGAACGGCAGCGGTAGTGGTCGCAGGCTTGCTGGCAACCACACGTATTACGAAGAGACCGCTTTCGCAAAACAAACTCGTATTTCTGGGAGCTGGAGGGGTGAGTTTGCAAACC